CTAGCGCCGGCGACCAAGCGGCCGCCCTGGTGGCGGAGCTCCGAAACATCGGCGGCGAGTGCGCCGGCGGCCGCCGCACCGGCTTGCGTGCTAAAAACGCGGTAATGGAGGGCGAAATTAGCGAACTTTAGCTCATAAGACACGATTTCAGAGACTTCGCACATATTTCAAGTTCTTTCTTATAATTATTATGGCTCCATTTAGTCACTATCACATACGGAATCATTACCTGATGCCCATAAACTGAGCCGGTATTCTTGACTTGCCGATGCAATTTATCATCAAATATCATCGTTCCTCGGCGGTCAAACAAGTTCCTATTGATGATTTGATACAAATATCAACTTATTTTCATGTTATCGCATAAAACTTCACTTTATTCTAACATTGGCTCTTCGGCTGTAATCACGAACCCTCACTTGTCAGCAGAATTTAAGCAGCTTCTTAAATCAAAACTGTGAAAATAATATTTTCATGACATTCCTCAATTCCTGTTCTACCAGGTTCACACAATTTTCATCAAAATCGGTTACAGGTAAGTAATAAATGACAAAAGTATACAAAAACACACGCTCCGCCCATAGCCCGCAATGCTAAAATGGCGCCAGCGCCCTCGCCGTCGGGAAATCCGCCGCCGCCGCCGGGTGGTCGGAAAATTGGCGGAGTGTCCGATCCAGGAATACCTAATCCATGGTTTGTCCCAGGCCGCAGAGACGCGATGGGCCGCCCTTTCTAGGAATATTCGATCACCTCGAACCTCGAACAAGAGGCCCCTAGCGCCCGCCCGGCCGTGCCGATACGGCCTCTTCGGAAACTACCTAGGGGAGGGGACGACGGGAGGACGAGGGGGTCAAAGAGTACACATAGCCTCTGCGCAGTGCGCTAGAAGCACTCTGAAGGAGCGGAAACGGGCCCCTTGGCATCCCCCGGCCAGCGCTGAAGGATGTTGATGCTGCGCAGATGTGTGACCGGAACACGGGCGGTGCAAATTTCTCGCCGGGCAACAGTCACGGGGTGGGTGATCACACCCTCCAGAATCCAGATACAAATGACGTGTTGGCGCGTGACATATTGATCCTCGTGAATGCCCTTCAAATGCGTATTTGTGTTGGTCATGCAGCCCCAGCGCAGCGGCGACCTCTTGTGTTGCATTAAGAATGAGTTCATCACGTCCTGTAGTGCCACTAGCGTTAACCCGCGCCCCGCTGGGCTATTCAGCCATACGCGCCCTGCTGGGGGGGGGCAGATTCTGCCCCCCCTGTCTAACTTCCGAACCGATGGTCGTAGAAAGACGGGGAAAACGGCAATCGAAAGCTCTCAACAAGGCGGATCTTAAGAGCCCAAAATTTTTTGCTTAAGTAGGTCAGAGGTCAGGTCAAGGTCAGGTCAAGGGTACAAAATGCAAGTTTCTACAGTATCAGCCTTGCACCGTAGTTGCCGAAGAATGGACTGAGACTGATTGCCCAAAACGTGTTCTTAGACTACCAAGACAATATTCGTTGCATACAATGTCATTCAAAGGTCAAGGTCAAGGTCAGGTTAGGTCAGGTCAGGTCACCAAAAACAAAATATAGAAAAGGGCATGTGCGACACATGTTTTATGGTTCATTTTACTCATAGAATTCAATAGGCACACTCAATAAGTGATATAGACCACCTCTGGATGAATTTCAGGTCGAGGTCAGGTCAAGGTCAGGTCAAGTGAGGTCAAATTTTGAAGTTGGTTGTTAAGGCCCAAAAAGGTGTCTATCTGATGCAGTTTTTCACGGCGAATCGAGTGGTGCTATTTTTGTTTCCGTACGAGGTCTAGGACTTCCAAAAAAATCATTTTTCAAAAATTTCGTGTGTCGTGACGTCATAAAATTTTGAATAACTCCCACATTTTTGAACCGATTCTTCTGAAAATTGGTATGTAGATGCACATTGACCACTTCTCTGACATATATTCCGGTTTTTTCGATACACTCAAAATTTTGGATTTTATAACTATTTTCCCAACAAAATCAGTTTTTTGAAAAATTTTGGGCCAAAATCCAAAATTTTCAAAAAACCGAGATAGCCATTTGATAGACAACGTGAAATCACGTATAACCTTTTTTGTTACGTCTTGATTCCTTTAAAAATGAAGATGTTAGCGGCGTTTGAAATTTTGCCGTTTTTGAGGCGAAAATGGCGAACATGACGTCACTAAAACGTCAATTTCTCAAAAATTTTCCGACGGATTTCGTTCAAATTTTCAGGGAACGTGTCAAATTGATGTATGATAAGGTACTGAAAGTTTGACGTCGCTGGCGTAACGCGTTTAGAAGTTATTGGCGAAAAACGGGAGGGGGGGCAGATTCTGCCCCCCCCCAGCGGGGCGCGGGTTAATTAGGCATCCATAATAACACATCAGTCGATTGATTGTGTACGTATTTGTACATAGTTGATAGCATGTGCGTCTGTTCTTTGGTTTTATGCGATTTTTTTTAAGGTATATCATTTTTGGTCGAAAACTCCGAAATCATGATGTCACTAAACCCTCGCATGTGTAGGAGAAGGGTCGGATGGACCCCCCATGGTTTTTCGCGAATAACTCGCGTAAAAAGCGGCCGATCACGACGAAACTTTCAGTACCCTCGACCTGATCAATTTTACATCTACTCTGAAAATTTCATCACCCTGACCCAAGTGACCGCTGACCTGTGACCTATTTCTCGAACCCATGTTTGGCCGGAATCGCGATTCGGCGTATGTCGGCTCACATAAGCCGCGCGTTTGCAAGCTTCTCGTGGTTTCAAACGTTCAAACATGTGACTTGATATTGCTCCCATGCATTTGGGTGGATGTCAAGGTCACCTGAAGGTCAGGTCAGGTCATTGACCTTTGGTGACCTCGGTTCACTTTTTCGAGCTTTTCGGGTTTTTAGCCCTGACCTGGAAGGTCAAAGGATTGACCTGACCTGGAAGGTCAACCAATGACCTAGGACCTTAAAATTGGGAACACGCTCGTTTTTCCGCGAAGCTCTAGCTCAATCAGGGGCCAAACGGCAAGGGGGGTCCAACCGACACCCCCCCCCCCCCCACTCACACACACATTAGAAGCTGGCAAACGCCGTACACATGCGAGGGTAAAACCTCAATATCTCAAAATTTTTCGAATTGATTTTCTAACATAGGCATAACATAATGAACTTTAACTTATTCGCCACGGGTACCAAAAAATGGAGCGCGACTGCTGCGCGCCGTTTTTTAACCTATAGCGCAGCAAATAAAATGGGGGCGTCCTCCCCAAGCAACTTGCGGGTTCAAATAGGCAGCCCCTCACTCGGCTTTCGTGTCATCAGCAGGAGCTTTTTAACCCTCGCCCATGTAGGGGGGGTGCAACCCTCCCCCCCCCCTGAGGTTTTTCTTAGCTACACGCCGAACCGTTTCAGGTAGCCTGCTCAAATTTTCAGTACCCTATGGGGCATCCTTTGCGCAACTTTTGGTATTTTTTTGTCAAGGTCATGTCAGGTCACGTAGTTATGACGTCATAAAGGGAACAACCTCCGGCCAGATTTACGCTAAATTGGAGATTGCTTCACATTGGTATAAATGCCGACTGACCTGACACACTGATGGATTGTTTTAGAACCATAACTGGCTGATTTGACATTGGCACAATGTTTGTTGACATTTTGAAGGTCACTTAAGGTCAAGGTAAGGTCAGTGACCTCGGTTGACCTGTAATGACTTCTTGCACTTGTATGCCTTTTCGGGGTATTTTAATGCCCTGAATTCGAATTTGCTATCCATTTCAGGCATCGCCGGTTGTTTCTTGTAGTTCATTTTGGGTAAGGGTCAGGTCAGTGACGTCACACGCCTGACGTGACCCAATGCACAAATGACCTTGCAGACTTCCGATGCTCCCAACGCATCATTTTTAGAGTTATGACATCGAAATACACACCAAACGATAAAGAATTGATCAAGGATCACGATAGTGAAGGTTTCAAGTCGATATCTCTTACCGTTTTGCCGCAATCGGCGCGGAAATCTGAAAAAGCTAGATTTTTCCGAAAATTTGACATTTGACCGGTCATAAGTAGGTCAAATGTTGACCTAGGACCAAACAATATACCACCAATCGCGAAATCTCGTTGAGAGCAATCCGTTGGTCTTTTCCGCTAAGCTCTACGACGCTCCGTTTTCAAACGCCAGGGGGGGTCGCACCAACCCCCCCCCCCTGCATGGGCGAAGGTGGCAAAACACCGTTTACGGGCGAGGGTTAACAGACTTGGCAGCGACTGAACGACATTCGACATTGATATGCACCAAAGTTTCAAACCCACTGCTGCCTTGCCTGCCTCCTCCCCACCAATGCTCTCCGCACTGCTGGCCGGGGTCCCATCAAGATCATCTTTAGTGCTGTTTTACAATTTTGCAGGAGAAGCCGAAAGCCTCTGAAGCGGAGGTGACAAATAAAAGTAGCTTTACGACTGTTATGTGGCACACATTTGGTCACATTTCGTGCAATTTGGGCAAAAGTGGTTCCAAATTACATTGTAGTAACGACGTTTTTAGCCTGTGTTGTATTGGTTGCTTCATGCTTGCATGCCTGATTTATCAATATGTAACAACTCATTTTCAATTAAAGTAGTGAAGGAAATTTGTCATGGGAAATACTTTGTTGTAAAAGAAATTTGGTTAAGTTTGGTCAAGTTGTGTGCACTTTGCCAGAAAACCCGTCGTGAAAACGGATAGTAGCTGTTAGGATGTTACTGCGCTTGATAACTCAGGACTGGAAGTAGCAGGCAGTATGGGCGTTATTGCCTCCTACACGAAAACGGGAGAGAGAGAGAGAGAGAGAGAGAGAGAGAGAGAGAGAGAGAGAGAGAGAGAGAGAGAGAGAGAAAGAGAGAGAGGAGAGAGAGAGAGAGAGAGAGAGAGAGAGAGAGAGAGAGAGAGAGAGAGAGAGAGAGAGAGAGAGAGAGAGAGAGAGAGAGAGAGAGAGAGCTCGTCCATCTGAGTCGACCGGTGTAGGTATACAAAAATATCTATTTCGATAAAGTTTTTACTTCAGCCCATGTTCTTGCTACGAACTCTCGCCGTCTTCGGTGACTCGTACAAGGTCACACTGTCGCATCGGGTCGACCTCGCCGGCCCGCCGGCGCCGGCGCGTCGGCCGCCACAGCTGCGCGCGCTGACCGCCGACGCCGCCGACGGTCTCAGGTAGTCGAGACCGACGACAGTCGATCCGCCCGTGACCTGAGGAGAGCTGCCGCCGGGCCCCGGGTCGGACAGAGGAAAGGGTCAGTTGGGGTCGAGGAGTCGGGGTGTGCTCGACTGGGGCGGCGCTGGAGGTCGAAGACGGGTTCAACTTGTCGCCAGAGATTGTTTGAGGTTTTACTCTGGTTGTGATTGAAATTACTGTTAATTTGGAGAGGATTCGGTTTTGTTTTAGTATCAGTCATAATTTAAAGTGTTGTGCTGTCTGTTAAAGATATTTTGTGAGTTTGTGATACATCAGAAGAGCTCTGGTCAGCAAGAAGCATCACCGCGTCAACATAGATCATCCACTTCGTTCACGCTGAACTGCAATCATGCAAAGGTGAGTTTGATACGCACTTTCCTAACAAACTCACCCTCGGTGGATTTACTGAGTTTCCAGCAGTGTCACGATGGAAAGCAGTTGCTGCTGATCAGTAGCTGGCGATCTCGTAACGCATCGATCGGGCTGTGAAGCTCGTGGAGGAGCACGCGCGGCAGGCCGAGCCGGCTGGGCATCGATTTCACAGCTGGGCCACGACGGAGCAGGGCGGCACCGCCGTCAACTCGCTGGAAGGTGTGCGGCAAGGTCTTCAACAGCGTCAGCGAGAACATTAGGGAGGACATCGTGGTTGTCATCAGGATGTAGGGGAGGGTGGGGTAAGACGGACCAGCGGGGCAAGAAAGGCCACAAGCCTTTTCGGCTGAACCGCTGCTGTTATCTGCTGCTTTATGCTACCTTTCTTTTCCTCCACGCTAATGGCCATCTTGAGCTAATTGGGCCAGGACGCATGGATTTTGAATTATTGAGAAAATATTATTTTTGTTAAATTGTTCTAATGTAAGGTGTCTAAGCCCTAAGGATTATTTAATTTAAGCGTTTTTTATCTGAATAATTTTTATTTGTTCTTGACTATGAAGAACAATGTTATATTCACACATAGGGACAGGTAAGGTTTCACAGTATTGGGCTACTCAACATACAAGTCATGATAATGACAAAAATTAGAGGGGCAAGACAGACCACTGTGGTCTATCTTACCCTGTGGTGGTACATTTTACCACGCAGATGAAACATCTTGCTAAAACAGGTATTGACATGAGTTTCAATGAGCTATTTTTTCAGGTATAGGAGTCTTTGTTTCATGTGAGCCATGCATCAGAAGTGCTGAGCTAGCATGCATTCACTTTCACGCCAAACAGCAATCAACACACAGCATCTTTAAGTTGCAAACAGCAATCCCATCTTTAAGGTGTACTTCCACCAGTCACGAGTGAGTACAGATTATGTATTACGGTCTTCCCTCAGAACACATTGTAAGAAATAGTTGCAAGCTTCCGCGTTAGCCTGGCGAATCCCACTATCCCGGGGCGTGCTGAACTGACATCGACACACGAGCTGCTAGCGAGATGTCGATTCAACACGCTTTGGGCTAGCGAGATTTGCCATGATAGCACGAAAGTCAGCGAATGTTTTTACAGTACAAATACCAAGCACCTCCCCCTCCAATGGCATTTCTCCGTGGTGGTGGGGGGGGGGGGGGGGGTACTGGCCAGTGGCCACAAATGTGTCAGATTGCATCAGATAGTCATCCAGAGTTGACTTCTGAGAACAATGTGGCAGTGGCCGAAGTGATGCGACACAGGCCCGGCTGTAATTGATACAGCTTCGAAATCTGATATGATCATGTGTGGCGCAGGTGTTAATTTTCATAATTTATTGGAGGATCTTGCGCTAGCATTTTAGCTGAAGCATTTGCATTACGCGCTTTGGTAGCACGACTGTAAGAGCAATAACGGCAAACTGAAAATAGGTATAGTATGGATTATCATGCAAATGCAATTACTTCGCATTGTTTCGACTGTCGGACAAGTGCACCTCTAAACCAAAAACGAGCTGTCTCCAATGTAATCATTTTCTGTATTTCATTTTACACATCGTCCACATATGTAGACATTTACTAGCCTCGCAGACCCCCATCCCTAGAAATGTCGAGAGAAAATGTTACAGGTAATCATCTCTTTTATGAGCTCTCTGATTAGAATGAGCGCCGTGATGAAGTAATTTTACGACGACGCTCCTTCAACACGCACAGCGGACAGCGGTAGTAATTATCGATTATACAACCGGTGTAACGTGGGGACGTTCGGGATAGACTCTTGCGGAATAAACAGGATACCGTATAGCCAAATGTTTTAGGTAGTTCTAAATCTCCTACGCTTGCTTGACCAATTTTTTTAATGCAATTGGACGTAATGCTGAAATGTTGAGTGATTTTGAATTGATTGCTTTTAATTCAGGATCAGTGCACAATTCAATTCATTACTAGATAGATGGAATTTGGAAAGCACCTTCACACACAGAAATATTGAGCGGAAAAACGGTGTAATTGAAAGTACCAAAAGGAACATTTTTTTGGTGTAAAATTACTCTGTTTTCTGGGTAAAAGAACACTTATATGTGTGTTTTGCTAGCTTCGGAGTGCTTCACTATTGTGTAGGAGAACCGCTTTCAGTGTAACTTTACCGCGGATCTCGCGTTACATTTACGCACAAATACTGCCAAGTATGGAAAACATAGCCCCATGAACGACTGCTCCGGTTGTTTTTCAATAGAAAAACACAATTCTAATGAATAGTGTTTGTCTTTTCAAACAACCTGCGGTTATGTGTTTTTGGTAAAAAGTACCAAAAGGAACACTCGCGTGGTAATCGTACTCAAATTCATGGCGGTAAATTTACACAAATATGACGGTTATTATAACGATTTTTTCTGGTAAAGCTATTGTTGGGCCCGCAAAATTTGTAACGCAAGCGACACGCGGCGGGACGTTGTCGCCAGCTGCGAGCCTAGCTAAATGCAACGAAACATTGTGATGCTCAATGCCTACCCCATGCTGCAAACACGTTTGTTTGTTTGTCGTTTATTGTTAAGAATCGACATCACATCTGACGGAAATAAAAGTTAGATTACCGTATATACCTATGTCCGTCAAGACAGCCCATATTCAGCCCAGATTCAGCCCGGATTCAGCCCAGATTCGGGACACCTCCGATCAAGCTGAAACTCGCACACAATGTAGGACATGACATGCCATATCCACAGTCCAAGTCATTCGGTGGCACTCCCAGCCGTTTGACCTACAGAGGTCAGCAAAGGTCACGTGGCCCAAATTTGCACAGCAGATTGTGGCCCACCCAGTAGAGTTAGAGCGCTAAAAATGGCACCAATCGACTTGCCAGCATCTAATCTTACTTTCCCAACACTCATTTGACCTCTCAAGGTCATGCGATGACCTAAGGTCATTTGTGGGCTATGTCGAAAATACACTTGCACAGCAGTTTTCGAGTAGAGGGATTGACCGAATTCCAAATCAAAGCACATCATCGGGTAGCCCATAGGCCGTAGTAACTTTCCTTAAAAACCGCTTTTCGATATGTGACCCTGTTTGACCTCGGCAGGTCAAAATGCGCAAATAAACGACACTCCATACGTCGCAGCCCGGATTCAGCCCAGATTCGGGACACCTCCGATCAAGCTGAAACTCGCACATAATGTAGGCCATGACATGCCCAATCCACAGTCCAAGTCATTCGGTGGCACTCCCAGCCGTTTGACCTACAGAGGTCAGCAAAGGTCACATGGCCCAAATTTGCACAGCAGATTGTGGCCCACCCAGTAGAGTTAAAGCGCTAAAAATGGCACCAATCGACTCGCCAGCATCTAATCTTACTTTCCCAACACTCATTTGACCTCTCAAGGTCATGCGATGACCTAAGGTCATTTGTGGGCTATGTCGAAAATACACTTGCACAGCAGTTTTCGAGTAGAGGGATTGACCGAATTCCAAATCAAAGCACGTCATCGGGTATCCCATAGGCCGGAGTAACTTTCCTTAAAAACCGCTTTTCGATATGTGACCCCGTTTGACCTCGGCAGGTCAAAATGCGCAAATAAACGACACTCCATACGTCGCAGCCCGGATTCAGACCAGATTCGGGACACCTCCGATCAAGCTGAAACTCGCACACAATGTAGGACATGACGTGCCCAATCCACAGTCCAAGTCATTCGACGGCACTTTCAGCCGTTTGACCTAGAGAGGTCAGCAAAGGTCACGTGGCCCAAATTTGCACAGCAGATTGTGGCCCACCCAGTAGAGCTAGAGCGCTAAAAATGGCACCAATCGACTCGCCAGCATCTAATCTTACTTTCCCAACACTCATTTGACCTCTCAAGGTCATGCGATGACCTAAGGTCATTTGTGGGCTATGTCGAAAATACACTTGCACAGCAGTTTTCGAGTAGAGGAATTGACCGAATTCCAAATCAAAGCACATCATCGGGTAGCCCATAGGCCGTAGTAACTTTCCTTAAAAACCGCTTTTCGATATGTGACCCCGTTTGACGTCGGCAGGTCAAAATATGCAAATAAACGACACTCCATACGTCGCAGCCCGAGTGTCTTTTATTTGCACATTTTGACCTACCGAGGTCAAACGGGGTCACATATCGAAGAGCGGTTTTTAAGGAAAGTTACTACGGCCTATGGGCTACCCGATGATGTGCTTTGATTTGGAATTCGGTCAATCCCTCTACTCGAAAACTGCTGTGCAAGTGTATTTTCGACATAGCCCACAAATGACCTTAGGTCATCGCATAACCTTGAGAGGTCAAATGAGTGTTGGGAAAGTAAGATTAGATGCTGACGAGTCGATTGGTTGCATTTTTAGCGCTCTAGCTCTACTGGGTGGGCCACAATATGCTGTGCAAATTTGGGCCACGTGACCTTTGCTGACCTCTGTAGGTCAAACGGCTAGGAGTGCCACCGAATGACTTGGACTGTGGATTGGGCTTGTCATGGCCTACATGGTGTGCGAGTTTCAGCTTGTTCGGAGGTGTCCCGAATCTGGGCTGAATCCGGGCTGCGACGTATTGAGTGTCGTTTATTTGCACATTTTGACCTACCGAGGTCAAACGGGGTCACATATCGAAAAGCGGTTTTTAAGGAAAGTTACTACGGCCTATGGGCTACCCAATGGTGTGCTTTGATTTGGAATTCGGTCAATCCCTCTACTGGAAAACTGCTGTGCAAGTGTATTTTCGACATAGCCCACAAATGACCTTTGGTCATCGCATGACCTTGAGAGGTAAAATGAGTGTTGGGAAAGTAAGATTAGATGCTGGCGAGTCGATTGGTGCCATTTTTAGCGCTCTAGCTCTACTGGGTGGGCCACAATCTGCTGTGCAAATTTGGGCCACGTGACCTTTGCTGACCTCTGTAGGTCAAACGGCTAGGGGTGCCACCGAATGACTTAGACTGTGGATTGTACATGTCATGGCCTACATTATGTGCGAGTTTCAGCTTGATCGGAGGTGTCCCGAATCTGGGCTGAATCCGGGCTGCGACGTATTGAGTGTCGTTTATTTGCACATTTTGACCTACTGAGGTCAAACGGGGTCACATATCGAACTGCGGTTTTTAAGGAAAGTTACTACGGCCTATGTGCTACCCGATGATGTGCTTTGATTTGGAATTCGGTTAATCCATCTACTCGAAAACTGCTGTGCAACTGTATTTTCGTTATAGCCCACAAATGACCTTAGGTCATCGCATGACCTTGAGAGGTCAAATGAGTGTTGGGAAAGTAAGATTAGATGCTGACGAGTCGATTGGTGCCATTTTAGCGCTCTAGCTCTACTGGGTGGGCCACAATCTGCTGTGCAAATTTGGGCTACGTGACCTTTGCTGACCTCTGTAGGTCAAACGGCTAGGAGTGCCACCGAATGACTAGGACTGTGGATTGGATAGGTCATGGCCTACATTGTGTGCGAGTTTCAGCTTGATCAGAGGTGTCCCGAATCTGGGCTGAATCCGGGCTGCGACGTATTGAGTGTCGTTAATTTGCACATTTTGACCTACCGAGGTCAAACGGGGTCACATATCGAAAAGCGGTTTTAAAGGAAAGTTACTACGGCCTATGGGCTACCCGATGATGTGCTTTGATTTGGAATTCGGTCAATCCCTCTACTCGAAAACTGCTGTGCAAGTGTATTTTCGACATAGCCCACAAATGACCTTAGGTCATCGCATGACCTTGAGAGGTCAAATGAGTATTGGGAAAGTAAGATTAGATGCTGGCGAGTCGATTGGTGCCATTTTTAGCGCTCTAGCTCTACTGGGTGGGCCACAATCTGCTGTGCAAATTTGGGCCACGTGACCTTTGCTGACCTCTGTAGGTCAAACGGCTAGGAGTGCCACCGAATGACTTGGACTGTGGATTGGGCATGTCATGGCCTACATTGTGTGCGAGTTTCAGCTTGTTCGGAGGTGTCCCGAATCTGGGCTGAATCCGGGCTGCGACGTATTGAGTGTCGTTTATTTGCACATTTTGACCTACCGAGGTCAAACGGGGTCACATATCGAAAAGCAGTTTTTAAGGAAAGTTGCTACGGTCTATGGGCTAGATGATGTGCTTTGATTTGGAATTCGGTCAATCCCTCTACTCGAAAACTGCTGTGCAAGTGTATTTTCGACATAGCCCACAAATGACCTTAGGTCATCGCATGACCTTGAGAGGTCAAATGAGTGTTGGGAAAGTAAGATTAGATGCTGGCGAGTCGATTGGTGACATTTTTAGCGCTCTAGCTCTACTGGGTGGGCCACAATCTGCTGTGCAAATTTGGGCCACGTGACCTTTGCTGACCTCTGTAGGTCAAACGGCTAGGAGTGCCTCCGAATGACTTGGACTGTGGATTGGACATGTCATTACCTACATTGTGTGCGAGTTTCAGCTTGATCGGAGGTGTCCCGAATCTGGGCTGAATCCGGGCTGCGACGTATTGAGTGTCGTTTATTTGCACATTTTGACCTACCGAGGTCAAATGGGGTCACATATCGAAAAGCGGTTTTTAAGGAAAGTTACTACGGCCTATGGGCTACCCGATGATGTGCTTTGATTTGGAATTCGGTCAATCCCTCTACTCGAAAACTGCTGTGCAAGTGTATTTTCGACATAGCCCACAAATGACCTTAGGTCATCGCATGACCTTGAGAGGTCAAATGAGTTTTGGGAAAGTAAGATTAGATGCTGGCGAGTCGATTGGTGCCATTTTTAGCGCTCTAGCTCTACTGGGTGGGCCACAATCTGCTGTGCAAATTTGGGCCACGTGACCTTTGCTGACCTCTGTAGGTCACACGGCTAGGAGTGCCACCGAATGACTTGGACTGTGGATTGGACATGTCATGGCCTACATTGTGTGCGAGTTTCAGCTTGATCGGAGGTGTCCCGAATCTGGGCTGAATCCGGGCTGCGACGTATTGAGTGTCGTTTATTTGCACATTTTGACCTACCGAGGTCAAACGGGGTCACATATCGAAAAGCGGTTTTTAAGGAAAGTTACTACGGCCTATGGGCTACCCGATGATGTGCTTTGAGTTGGAATTCGGTCAATCCCTCTACTCGAAAACTGCTGTGCAAGTGTATTTTCGACATAGCCCACAAATGACCTTAGGTCATCGCATGACCTTGAGAGGTCAAATGAGTGTTGGAAAAGTAAGATTAGATGCTGACGAGTCGATTGGTGCCATTTTTAGCGCTCTAGCTCTACTGGGTGGGCCACAATCTGCTGTGCAAATTTGGGCCACGTGACCTTTGCTGACCTCTGTAGGTCAAACGGCTGGGAGTGCCACCGAATGACGTGGACTGTGGATTGGGCATGTCATGGCCTACATTGTGTGCGAGTTTCAGCTTGTTCGGAGGTGTCCCGAATCTGGGCTGAATCCGGGCTGAATCTGGGCTGAATATGGGCTATCTTGACGGACATTATATACCTTATCATGTAGATAAGCTGATATTTCACAACGCATGGGCGCCGCTACAGGTCGCAGCCACCGCCCGTCTCCCGTCAACTGCCCGTAATTAATAAATAAAAAAATATGTCATCTGTACGCACTACTTCACTGTGCCAAAATTATCGTTCATTTAATTAGCCATCGGCTCTCTGTTGCCTATCTGGCAAAATATTAGCATACCTATACCTAATTAACCCTAGAAAAGCATGAAAGTGCATCCATTATTTTCATAACACGACAGCAGTTCAGTTGAAAAATTACAAGCCCACCTTAGCACTCCGACAAAGCTGGATAATTTCCAGCAGCTCCTCCAATGTCGCTCCGCTTCAGATTTCAGACTCGGTCTTGATTGCAGTTATCAGACGATGACCACAATGCAGTATTTCACTTGTTATTCACTTATTCACTCATTACTCAGCTTATTATCGAACTAGATAAACACCACAGCACTGTTTTATCTCACTGATCGCACAAGAATGGGCAAACCCACTCTGCGCACTGCAGCCACAACACTCCCCCGCCGCCCCCCGCGGTCCCCGGCGCACAACTCAGCCCCCACCAAATCTTCATCTGGCATCGGCATTTTGCTACTGATGACGCCATTCCTAGCAACCGAGCGTCCCTAGCAACCGAAAGTGAAGACGTTGCACCTTCAACAAACGATCGTCAGCTAACTTCGTCAGCAACAAAGAAATGAAATTTATGAATGTTATGTTGTGAAAATAACTTGTGATATTAATTAAATCCTGATAAAATCCATACTTATTAAAGCTTACGATACATCAAATTCGTAACGTGTGCAAAAATGTCTGACCTCAGGTCACTTATGGTCAGGTCACCAGCCACCAGGCAAAGTGAAGTGACCATGAATCTAAAAACTGTGATTCAGTCATTCCTACATTTAACATTCCAGTAGCTTGAAACTCAGGGTAGGTATTGCATGGGGGAATCAGTACCAACAATTTGTTTCACTCAGAATTTGGATATCGGTGACTAAAGGTCAGGTCAATTTTGTGACCTCTCCATTATACGTAAATCAAAGGGAACAAATTGAAATGCTTTTCTTTTGGCTTAAAACACCCTCAAACATCAAGGAACACAGGTGAACATGAAGACACTGAACCAAAAATGCTTCCTATGACCCGTTTACGCCCCTGAGGTCATTTCAGGTCATGATATGTCTCCAACATTTTTTGACAATACATAACTTAAGATAGAAATATGCTAGAGAGCTGAAATGACCATTATTGTGTTCAGCTCAGCAATACAAATCGAATGGCATCCAACATGACCTTTTCTGTGACCTTGACCCGAGGTCAAATTCTTAACCCACGCGCTCATAGGGGGGGGGGGGGTCGACCGGACCCGCGAATACCTAACTCAAGTAAAAAGTCGCCGATCGCGACAAAACTTTCAGTACCCTCGAGGTAATTAATTTTAAATCTATCCTGAAATTCATGACCCTGGCCAAATTGACATTTGACCTGTAACCTATTCCTCGAGACCATGTTTGGCCGGAATCGCGATTCTGCGTATGTCAGCTAGTATCCGCGCGATTGCAGTGTTTTTGTGGTTTCAAACATTTAAACATGTGAAATGATATTGGTCCCATGCATTATTGTGGGTGTCAAGGTCGCCTGAAGGTCAGGTCAGGTTATTGACTTTTGATGACCTCGGTTCACTTTTTCGAGTTTTACATGTTTCTAGGCTAGTTTTTGGAGCTGATTTCGAATTTAGCAGTTCTTTCAACAGCTTCGAAGTAGTTTTGGTGCCTTCGTAACATGTTACGAAGCTGTCAGTGGCGGTTGACACCTACAATGAATACCCGGCTGGACCCCTGCTGGGTGACCTTCACCTGACCTGACCTGACCTGGCCTAAATGCATGAAGACATCATCTGTGATCAAAACTAACATGATATTCGTGATCAGCACCGCGAAAAACCTCTTAGCAACCACACTTACGACGTTCTAACAGGTCCCGATTTTCCCGACTTTTGGGTCATTGACCTGTCCTGACATGTCAACCGATGAGCTAGGACCTTAAAATTGGGTATCATCGGCTTGCTCTCGTCACGGGCAACACGCTCTTTTTTATGCGAAGCTCTAGCTCAATCAGTGGCCAAACGGCGAGGGTTTAATTGACCTTTTCCGGTCAATTTCATCTGACCTTCACCACGTTGCCTCAAATTCGGAATTTTAGGGCATACTTCTGATGCGCCTCGGTGAAACTTTTCCAACGCCACCTGGCACGTGTCGCTACGATGCTTAGCTTCGGAAATATAAATATATCGTTCCGCACGTATGCGTAGCATGAAGTGTAATATCAAAAGGTTTTCACGTGCGAAGCATGTGGACCGTGCACCTCAGCACACCTATTCGTACAATGCCTTCAAGCGTTTGTCCATGTTGTGCCATTGTGCCGAGTTTTAGGTGCTTGGGTCAAAGTTTTCGGACGTCGGAGAATGCCTCATCAAAACATGTTTTTCGTCCCGAGCATGTGCAATATGTATCTCTCGGTGCCGATTATTCCATATGTCAGTGGTTTGGTACCGGGACAGTGACCTACAAATTTGGCACCAGACCTCCCTTGGATTGGCTTAAAGCGTAGATAAAAGGTTTTTGTTCTCAATGTGTTTGTCGGCAAGTCATACGCGCCACGTGACAGCGAGTTACCCGGGACCTATACCATCACCTGCCTCCAGAAATGGCACGTCAAACGGCACCACCATCACCTCGATCCGAACATCCATTTAAAAATAATTACAAATTTTTTTGCTTTACAACGTTTCACAGCACAGATTTTTGGCGCCGCTTTGTCGTCACCACTATCTTCCATGGGAGGTCCCTTCGAATTGCCAGTCCAGTTTATTTATACGTCTATGAATTTGTACCAAATTATATAATTTAGTAGTATCGTAAAACATTTATTTTTCTTTTTATATCATCTGTTCCCAATTGAAAACAAATCCATGGTGTCTTACTTTACATTTCCAACAATTATTTTCACAAAATCAGATACTTGGCAATGAATTGCCCTCCCTTCAAATTTAGTTTCAACTAGGCCTGTCTAGTGGGATACTAGAAAAAATATTCCAAGCACCAGTGACGTCACAATTTGTCCAACCTTATGTTCTAGTAATCTTGGCACAACTGACAGATTGCGAAAATGGTGCCGCCACCGTCAGCATATAGCTCAAAATTTCGCTAAATTTACACTGGTTGATGTAAACGAACGGTGCTCCGGATGTGTACCGCAATTACCAGTGCGATACAACACTCACTTGCGTATGGATACACTTGCTTTGCATGGAAACATATCAGTTAGGTATTTGAACATCTGTTATGCTGTTACATTATCCTGTTTTGCGTAAAGATGCTTGTGTGGTGTAATAAAACTGCCGATGTTTATTAGTTAACCAATAAACGTCGTATAAAAAAAAACTAAATCTTGATGCCTTTACTTATTATGGCGTTGTGCGACGGATACCTTGCTTATTTATCACGAAAATACTTAAACTAAAGATATTTTACTAAGTGAAGCAGAACTTTGAAGCTATTTGAACTATTTACGAGTATATTGAACTTGACATCGCTCAATATTTCTGTGTGTGTTTAGAGGCATTACCTTTGCTGTTAAAATCAATTCAACCCCGAGCACCTGAGAAGCGGAACCGGACGTTCGTTCCTCCACCTTCCCTCCCCCTCTCTCTCTCTCTCTCTCTCTCTCTCTCTCTCCCTCCCTCTCTCTCTCTCTCCCTCCCCCTCTCTCTCCCCCTGCAGTATCGGGCCTCCCGCCAGACGGCACTCAAGGCCACACGGTGCACCTGTGAACCGCGCTTTACCGACGCGAGGAGTCCCGTTTATACAGCGGCACCTCACAGTGGCGGGGCCAGCAGGGTTCACATGTGATCGTTCCGGTGTCAAGGTTTCGCCCACTGGCTGCAGGCATAGGAACATAGGACCCCCCCCCCCCCCGGAGTGAGGAGTGGGGAGGGGTGAGCTTTGTTCCGATCGAGTGGGGCGTATCCGATGGCAACAGATGTTGCTGGTTTCTACTGAGCCTCCCAACGGCAGTGATTCATCGGTGAGAGGGTAACTTTGCAGTCGAGCTCGACACCGTACAGGTCATGTGGACTTAGGGGTTCCGGTCGAAGATCGTTGCCGAATGGATCATTAGACTGTTGCGTTACAAGAGAAACACGATGGAGAGAAGAAACAGAGGATTTATCAAACTCCCTGTAACATATATGTTACAGGCAATGTGTGGAATCAGGCATTCTATAGAATGCCTAGGCATTCTATAGAATGCCTGACCGACCAGGCATTCTATAGAATCCCTAGGTATTCTATAGAATCCCTGACTGCTTAGGCATTCTATAGAATGCCTGGCTTAAGCTCCCAGGCATTCTATAGAATGCCTAAGTATTTTGATTGTCCGAAACACACTTCGAAAATTAGGGGTCAGTGGCAGTAATGCTATTTGTTTACCTAATTTTCATTGTTGGCCTAGGCCGGTCGTCACCTCACACCATTTCAGGGCAATGAGCTGAGAGGAAGCGAGGGAGGTATTGGGCTATGCCGACCACCAAATGGTGCGCCGCAAGCAGCAGCTGATCCAATTCCGTTGGCACGGGAGAGCCACGGCGCAAGGCACGCGGGAGAGTCACAGGCCAACCAGTCGCTTAAACGGTTACCCTCGGAGGATTATGCTGCTACAGATACGACGCTGCATTAGAAGAGTGTTGGCTGGGAGGGTGAACCGTAGGCTTGAATCGAAAGTGATTGCGAATGACGATGGTTTTGTTCTGATGTTAGAAATGAAGGTGAAAAATACACCAAAGGTCACATTTTATGTCGTCATAAGCACTTCGTGTAACGACTCTCAATATACATACATGGACAGCTCAACCTACACCGTAATGTCAGGAAATAACCTGAATAAATGGTTCATTATTCCACGTCTGGGCGGTGGCCCGGCCGTAACAAGAGCCGGATTAGGTGTTGTTCGATCTCCCCTTCCAGCTTGACTTCTGGGCCATGCGGTATTCGAAGGGTCGTCAAAGACTCAAAATTATGAAATTTTACTTCAGTTCTTCTTTGGCAATGTTCGAAAGGGTGCCATTTCTAAAACAAATAGCTAAGCCATTTTTAGGTCAGCCCAATTTTTGTCCATTTTTGGCTCGTAGCCGTTTTCTTCAGTTTGACCTTAAATCAATTCCTTAGAAGGCAAACACCTCCAAAAATGGACGATTTGTCAATTTTTTTCTGTGTATTTTTTTTTTACCAAAGGCGTTTCCGATATTGACATTACCACCATCGTCTTTCTAGAGTTAAGATAAATACTCTGTACTCTCAGAATGAAATCCTGATACAATTTGACCTAATAAGGTCAGATTGAATACCTGACCGGAAAATTTGACTGAATGAACATTTGACTGAATGAACATAAATAGCTGAACGCAAGGTAGCCTGGCAGAAAATAATAATGTTACATGTCGGTCTGTGCTCATAATCTTATACAACATACACTTATATGTTGGAAAGATTCGTGTATTTCCT